AATTTGCAACCAAGAGTGAATTGGTAAGACCTTGACGCAACATCATCACACCATCAAATCTCAAGAAATGTCTACTGTTAAACCTTAGGAAATGGTAATTTTAAAAACTAAAAATGCCAAGTGGAAATATTATTTATGGATTGTAACAGAAACGTGCAGAATACGTGATAGAATAGCCTCAATACATGTTGCTATGTGATATTGCAATGTCTGGATTTATTGCTATAGGTTGGGTGGAATTATGATTTTTGTATTTTTGTATTATGTAGTTGTCTTTTTTGTTAGCCTCTTTGAGTACCATTTGTGGGAGAAAAGCGGGAGAAAAGTAAATAAATAATAAAAAATAATAATAATTGGTAATGACAGTGTATTTTGATTATGAGTCAAGAGGTACGATCACAAACACTGAAGACCTTACTGGCCTCATGAAAAGATGTAGAATATGGGTTGTTGTAGGTTTTTTCGGGTTATATGGCCATGTTCTAGAGGCATTCTCTCCTGACGTTTCGCCTGCATCTATGGCAAGCATCCTCAGAGGTAGTGAGGAATATTTTCTGAGTGAAATTCTCTGGATTGCATTGAATATCTTGCTCTGGTTCACATGATCTCTGAACCAGAAATATGTTTTTAAATGATGAACAAGACCTCGTATATGTTTTCTAATAAGGAGTATTTCTGATTCAAGGGGGCATTTTATACCATTGCATCTGAATGCATATTTTCTTTCCTATTTATTTTACAACAATATTCTGCAATATAATTAACAGGGAATTTTAAGCTCTTTAAAGTAGGAGGGATAAGACCTTGAAGCTAATACAGCACTTAATCTCTAGTCATTTCCTAGACTGTTACAGAATGGGCAATGTTTTCAAATACAAAAGGAATCTAGGGCATCTTGAACTGACATACATACAAGCTGACTTGTATTTGCTATTCATCTAAATGTACAAAAGTACAGAGACTACAAAGGGCCTTCTTGCTGTATCAGACTGGGAAATACAATATTCTTTCTTATGAATTGATTGGTTTTATATCTCACATTTGTCCTGAACTCAGCCCAAGATACCTCACAACATGAACTGAAACAAGATATGTGAATGAAAGTATAATAATAAAATAGTAATATTTAAACAACAATAATTTAAAATTATGTAATGTCATTTAAAAACATAACAAGATCACATGCAAATGTAGCATGTACATCACATTAAATAACTTTCTGTGTAGCTATCTAGTTACCAAATGCTTGTCCAAAAGTAAAAGTTATTTATCTGTTCAATGAAAGTAAGCAAGTTCAGGTCAAGGTACATCTCCTATGCAAAAAAAATCACAGTTGAGAGCAGCCACCAAGAAGTCTTTGTCCAATGTCATCACTAAATGTGCCTGTAAAGGTGGTATAGGATTAAGGGCCTCTTCACAAAGGCAGGTGAAGCACCCCACTTGCCTGGCTTCAGAGAGAAAAGAGGGGGGCGGTGGAGCGAAGCTGTCACCCCACACACAGCTCTCTCTTGGCACCACTACCCACATCACACATGGGAAGCACCCCCCCCCCCATATTGTGAGGGATGTGTCCAACAATGCTTCCACCCCTCTTGTGGTTGGAGCCTACGCTGGAAGTCACACAACATTGTGTGATGGCTGGCATGGGGCTCCATCCAGAAGATTGGGTGGAAGTGTCCTAGGATGCTGATTTAGGTGTGATTAGAGAAAGCCTTCCCCCAAGGATCTTAAAATGTGGAAGACTCATATAAAGAATACAGTCTTTCAGATAGTCTGGTCCTAGGCCACAACTGTTTAGAATATCTTCCAATTAAAGTGTACCATTTAATGTTTCTCCCTATACACAGTTCAATTGTAGCTTGGGTCAGTGGTGACATCAAGTGTGCATATTAGAAACAAATAAATGGTCCCTTCTTCCAAGGACCTTAATGTGGTTGTGGAGAGGACATTGTAATTTTTTTGATTTATTTGTTTTGTTTGTATCTTACTTTTCTCCCAAGGTAGAATCCATCAATAGTTCAAATAATAATTAATTAACCATAGTTCCTCAATATGTCCCAGATCTAAATTATAGTTTATCTTAATTTTTATTTCTCAAAAGGAGTCAATGTTTTTGAAGTTGGGTTGTTTCAACCAGCTATAGTTAAAATTAACCACAACTTGGAACTGTTTGGCTATTACAGTAGTAAGGTAATCTAAAATGGAAACAAAGATTTCTGAACTCTTCCTTGGAGCAATAGAATCATAGAATCACAGAGTTGGAAGAGACCTCATGGGCTATCGAGTCCAACCCCCTGTCAAGAAGCAGGAAAATTACATTCAAAGCACCCCCAACAGATGGCCATCCAGCCTCTGTTTAAAAGTCTCCAAAATAAGAAGCCTCCGCCACACTCCAGGGCAGAGAGTTCCGCTCGTAACCCCTCTCACAGTCAGGAAGTTCTTCCTAATTTTCAGATGGAATCTCCTTTCTTGTAGTTTGAAGCCATTGTTCCACGTCCTAGTCTCCAGGGCAGCAGACAACAAGCTTGCTCCCTCCTTCCTATGACTTCCTCTCACATACTTATACGTGGCTAGCATGTCTCCTCTCAGTCTTCTCTTCTTCAGGCTAAACATGCCCAGCTCTTTAAGCCGCTCCTCATAGGGCTTGTTTTCCAGACACTTGATCATTTTAGTTGCCCTCCTCTGGACACATTCCAGCTTGTCAACATCTCCCTTCAACTGTGGTGCCCAGAATTGGACACAGTATTCCACATGTGGCCTAACCAAGGCAGAATAGAGGGGTAGCATGACTTCCCTGGATCTAGACACTACTCCTATTGATGCAGGCCAAAATCCTGCATCAATTGGCTTTTTTTGCCGCCGCATCACATTGTTGACTCATGTTTAACTTGTTGTCCATGAGGACTCCAGTTTTTCTACGCATACTGCTCTCAAGCCATATGTCTCTCATTCTGTATCTTTGCATACAGAGGAACAGACATGTAAATCTTACCACTTCATCACACTTTCTTGCCAGTCCAATGATGGATGGGTATGCTGCCCATCACATGACATTGCTGGACATCCAACGGAAATTTAATCCACAACCAAAGCATCCTAGGAAGCTTTCCTCCAAACACAGGAGTCTGCTCATGTTGCACAGATCCGCACCTCTTCGGCAATGCTTCTGTGTAATGGGAAATGTTGCAGAGACAAAGTAGTCTGCAGGGCAACAGAGTCACCCCTCATCCCTGCTGTTTCACCACAGAGGCTGGTGAAACAGAACGGGGATGGGGATCCCCCATGTGATGAAGTCCTAGGGCTCACATTGATTTAGAGTTATTTATAGCCACAGATATCCAATCCACTAGAAAAGTTTAGCTTCTAATTGGAAAAGTAGGAACAATTACTATTTTCACATTTCAACAACAACAAAGTTTATTTATTAGTCCACTGACCATATCAACAGTAAAAACAAAATAAAAAAGTATACAAATAGACTGTGCTGTCACACGCTGGGCCTATAGCAATTGGTTTTTGAACAGGACGTGCTCTTTGTGCCCAGCGGGAAGCTGGGGTGCCTCGAGTGAGAGGCCTAAGGATTTTCCTATACAGAGCCTTTAAAAGCTTGTAAAGTTTAACAAAATCCTTTATTATTGCTTAGGTCTTCAACAAAACAATCAAATTCTTCTCAGATCTTCAACAGGTCAAACAAATACTTCAAGGCTTTGAATCAACTGGTGGCTTTCTTAATCTTGTCCACAAGAGACAGGCAACTGGCTTCGTGAACGGTTTCTTTTCTTTAAGAGGAAAACCCTTTTTAACCCTCCTTGGGCAATCTACTTTCTAAACTTTGCTGGTGTGGGCTCTACTCCTGGCTCCAAACTGCTTCTTGGGTCCCGAGTAGACCTACCAGTCAAGGCTTTGCAGAATCTCCAGCTGGAGTCCTTTGGAACTTTTTTCTCCCGGAATTTCGTAAGAAACGAAGTTTCTCTATAGGTGGAGCTGATTCACGTCCTGTAGCTAAGCTTTCAACTGTAAGACAGAGCTAAAATGGCTCCCTTTCCTTCCTGAACCCTGGGGAAAGGGGCGGAACTAAAAAACCCAACCATAATAGGCAGGTGGCTGCAAACCAAGGGAAGCCACCTTATTCAAAATGCATGGAACTTTGGAATGCATGCAAATGCTCAAAGAAAGAAAAGGAAGTTGGAGCTCCTGGTACAGCTGTACCAGCATGTAGACACTAATCAATATCCTAAGACTCCTGTAATAGTGAACTAACACACATTAGAACCTGATTAAGTTAAAAGTTAAAAGTAATTAAAAATATCATCATTTTCACATTCCACTATCTCCTCTCCCGCACCCCCATGCATAAAATTAAAGCATGTATAAACTACTTTACCTATAATTCTGTGCATTGGAAGAGAGACAGATAAGCTAATAGGCTGAGAGATCGATCAGCGTGCACACATCTTCATTCTCTTGCTCTCTCTTTCACATACACATAAAGGAGTATTACTGGAATATTACTAGGAATTTAAATCCCAATTGTGATTTTGGGGGAGGAATGGCCCTCCATTTCCTTTTGTAGCACTATGATCCCTTATGCATATATCCGGTTGGGAGGAGTACAACCTCACCAATAGGATCAGATGAAGCCGCACCTTAATTGGGGGACATTTTGTATATTATATATTATATAGACTCTGACAAAAACTATTTACAATCGGAAGGAGCTAGTTGCTAGTTTATGCAAAAATTTGTCCCAACAATATTTCTCCCCCAAAAAATCTTGCAAATATTATGCATCCCCAAAAACTTATCCTTTTAGAATTGCAAAGGCACTTCCATAGAAGACTTGGTATTTTAAATCCTGCTGATCCTACTAGGTTTGGTTACATTGATCCATCAGAAAACAAAGGTATTGCAGCCTCAGACTACTAAGCAACTAAACTCATGATGCATTCACCCTCGAAGTGCAATAGAACTCACCATACTGCTTATTTCTCTTTATGCAGGAAAGTGAGAAAATGTCGTGGAAGAGAACCAAGGAATAGACGAGAACGCAAGGTTCTCTCTGCTTGGGATTTTACCCCTCTCGTCACGTCGTCTCACAATGTCAAAGAAGGGTGCCAGCTTTCGAGCTAAAGGAGAAAGACCGGATGCCTTAGCTGCATTGCAAGCCGCTAATGAAGACCTCAGGGCAAAACTCACAGACATTCAGATAGAGCTCCAGCAAGAAAAGAGTAAGGTGTGCATCTTTCCCCATTATTATTCAATAGGAGTTTCTCTCATTGCTAGTTGTTTCCAAAATATGCCCATTGCCAAGTGGTGGATGAGTTGGAATGACTAATAACATATTTCATTGCTCTCTTTCCAGGCTGAAAGCAAATAACCCTATGGTTTGAGATATTTCATTACAATATGATCTATGCATTTTATTAAATAGACCCACTTTTGCAAGATGCAATGTGCATCCAGCTAACCCTATACTATATATCTATATATTAGATTCTCTTTTGTAATAGGTCATCAAAATATGGTTTTTGCATTTTATTGAATAGTTGGAATTTTGAAAGACACAAGGTGTATCCCTCTAATATACAGATTGAGTATTCCTTATCTGAAATGCTTGGGACTTGAAGTGTTTGAGATTCTTTTCGCTGCTGGATTTTGGAGTACATATTTACACATATTGCATAATGAGGTATCTTGCGGAGGAAACTCAAGTGTAAACACAAAATTGATTTATGTTTCATATCCACCTCATATGCATAGCCTGAAGTTATTTTTATAAAACATTTTAAATAATTTTGTGCAAATAAAACTAAGTTTGTGTACATTGAACTAGTAGAAATAAAATGTGTTGCTATCTCAGCCATCCATGTTGATAATTTGGGATTTTGGAGTATTTCAGATTTCAAAATTCCAGGTAAGGGATGCTCAACCTGTATCAATATATTGTCTTTTGCAACAGGATGTGTAAAATGAGGTTCTGATCAGAAAAAAGATGGAATAAACATTACATATCTCTCTTTTGCTATGACTTTTGAGGAATACAGCCTGAAGGTTGCATTAGATCCATTTCTTTCTTCAAATGTGAGTTTTGATGAATAATTTAGAGGCTGCTCTAATTGGTCCCCTATGGAGGCCAAAGCAGCTGTATTGTCAGCACGTACCATACACTGAGAAGCAAAACTGCCAAGATTCAGGGACAGTGGGATAAATCCATTTAGGGTAAACATTAAAGTGCCTGACTTGGCAAATTTATATGGAAAATAGTCCAGTTTTAATTCTAAAGTTAAATTATCTGTAGTTACTGAGTGGGCGACAGCCTGAAGCACGTATTTGCTTTGTAACATAATTTATCAAACCTGAAGACAAATTGTATTTTGTCAACACTTTGCTTTGTGTGAAGACTAATGACATGCAAAACTGATGACTAGGAAAGTATAGCTGCCTCATCAGAACAGAAGAAAATCTCACCAGTTGTATTTGGCTGTTTAGCCTACTTTAACGTATGGTGACTCTATAAATGAAAAATGTCCAAAAGCCAGGTCATCAACTGTCATGCTCAGAGTTTGCAAACTCAGGGCCATGGATTCTTTGATTGAATCAATCCACTTGTAATATTATTTATTTATTTATTTATTTATATCCCACTTTTCTCCCGTGGGTGAGATTCAAAATGGTTAACAATGGTTAAAACAACAGAAATTACATGAACACAGCACATTGCATAAACAATATGCAACAAGCTTAATATGCAACAAACTTAATAAATATGACATGTCCCACTAAAATTCCCTGGGCTTAAAGATCCTAGAAGCTCCACTTCTTTAGGCCATGTAAACATTGCCAAGTCTGAGATGGCCTTCAATAATGTATCTTACCAGTAGCTGCCTGGTCATGGGTTATTGGGAAAGGGCTGATTCCACAGGAAGGTTTTAACTTGTATGCAAAAGGTCAGTAAAGAGGGGGGCAATTGCACTTCTTTGGAAAGGGAGTTCCAGAGCCACGGGGCTACCATCAAGTAGGCTGGGTCCAAACCGTTTAGGGTTTTGTGGGCTTAAGCCAGCACCCTGAATTACACCTGGAAACAAACTGGGAGCCAATGTAGCTGTTTCAGGAGTGCAGTAGTTCTTTCTCTATATCCTGCCCCCGTAAGCAGTCTAACTGCTGACCTTTGTACCAGTTGAAGTTTCCAAATGCTCTTCTGGGGCAACCCCACATAGAGCGTGTTACAGTAATCTAATATGGATGTGACTAAGGTGTGTACTACCGTGGCCAATTGGGCTTTTCAAGGTATAGGTGCAGCTGGAGCACAAGCTTTAACAGTGTGAAGGCCCTCACAACCACTGCTGATACCTTGGTCTCCAGAGTCAGCACTGAGTCCAGAAGGACCCCCAGATTGCAAACCTGCACCTTCAAGGGGAGTGTGACTCCATCCAGTACAGGTTGCAGCCCTATATCCTGATCAGCCCTACGACTGACCAGTAGTACCTCTGTCTTATCTGGATTCAATTTCAATTTGTTCATCCATCACAGCTGACAGACACCTGTTCAGAGTCAGGATGACATCCTTGGCATCTGGTGGAAACTTGTAATAGAGTTGGGTGTCATTTGTATACAGATGGCACCAAATTCCAAAACTCCCGCTGATCTTTCCCAAAGGTTTCATGTAGATGTTAAACAACATAGGGGGCAGTACCGAACTCTGCAGGACCCCATAGGACAAAGGCCATGGTATTGAGCAGGAGTCCCTCAGCACCACCTTTTGGACCTACCCTCAAGGAAGGAATAGAACCACTGTAACACAGTGCCTCAAAGTCCTATTCCTGCAAGGCGGTCCAGAAGGATACCATGCTTGATGGTATCAAAAGCCACTGAGATGTTTAAGAGAGCCAGAAGGTACACACTCCCCACTATCCAGTTCTCTACATAGATCATCCACCAAGGTGACCAATGCCATCTGAGTTCCGTAGCTGAGCCTGAAACCAGATTGAAATTGATCTAGATAATCTGTTTCATCCAAGAGCTCCTGGAGTTTGGATGCCACCATGCATTTCAGAACCTTGACCAAAAAGGGAAGGTTTGACACTGGTCTGAAGTTGTTCATTATTGAGTGATCAAAGGATGTTTTTTTTTTAAAATAGGCCTTACTATGGCCTCTTTAAGGCTTCGTGGAATTATGCCTTGGGCCAATGAGGCATTAACGACCATTTTGACCCACTCTGCCAGTCCCCTTTTGACAAGTTCTATCAGCCATGAAGGTCATTTCTGGGTCTAGATTGCTGTTAGTTTTTCAGGCTGTATGGCCATGTTGCAGAAGCATTCTCTCCTGATGTTTCACCCACATCTATGGCAGGCATCCTGAGAGGTTGTGAGGTCTGACAACCTCTCACAACCTCTGAGGATGCCTACCATAGATGCAGGTGAAACGTCAGGAGAGAATGCTTCTAGAACATGGCCATACAGCCTGAAAAACCTACAACAACCCACTATTAGAGGTAAAATGCTATTGCAGAACCATAGGTCTGAATTCTTTTTACTCTTTTATTAATTTTAATATTAGTGAGTGATTGATTTTTACCCGTGTTCTTTGTATTGTTTATTAATTTTAATATTAGATTATTGATTGGTTTTTATTTATTTGTTTCCATTGTGCCCATTGGCATCTTATTCACTTGTTACTTTAATTATTTCATCACTGCATTGAAGTATAGGTGCTGTCCACTTTTCAATGCAGTGATGAAATAACTAAAGCAACAAGTGAATAAGATACCTATAATTTGAATTGAAAAGTGGGATATAAATGAATTGAAAAGTGGGATATAATTATTTTAATGACATGAAATAAAATTTGGCACAGGCGGCCAGATTTACATGGCAAAGGAAAGCTGGTTGTATAAATTATGCATATTGTCATTTTCATTCTGAGTGAATCCTGAATTCTAACAAAGAAAGTTTCCAAAGAGCACATTCCAGCATTGTAACTTCTAAATAGCCTGTAAATGTCAGACAAGTCCCATTTGTATGTTCAATGAATCACTGGAGTGTGTATCTAAGCATTACCAGTGATTTCCCTGCAGCTTCACAAGCCCTGCCAAGGATAATGGATGAGACTGTTTTTAGTTAAAGCAGTTGGCTGGCTGTTTTTGCTCAGCAAAAGGACAGTAATGGATTTAAAGATATGTTAATGTTTTATTTCTTTTTTTAACTGTTTTTTTTTAGTTTAGTCAACCTATCTAGAAAGGAGACAAGAATCATTTGAGTAATATCACCATAGCCTATCTTTAGATCAGGCATGGGCAAACTTCGACCCTTCAGGTGTTTTGGACTTCAATGCCCGGAACTCCCAATCAGCTTACTGGCTGTTAGGAATTATGGGAGTTGAAGCCCAAAACACCTGGAGGGTTGAAGTTTGCCCATGCCTGCTTTAGACTATGTACCTCATCAGACAGGGTTTTCCCTCCTGTCCTAGAGCACTGCAGAGATGGAGCTGGGATAGAACCCATCATATGACACAGGGCTACTTCTGGTAGGGCTCCATCCCGACTCTGACTCAGTGGTGTGCTCAGAAGAAGCCCTGAGTATATAAGTGACTACCCATATCGTTATTTAACAAGCCGGAGACACCATGCAAGGAAGCCAGGAACAGCCAGGATATTCTGTCCCATGATTTTCTCCGCTGTCCCATGCCTTCTGGACCTTCAGGCTACTTTGAAAAGTCAACAACTTGTTAGTACTTAATGTATTATTATGGCATACCCTTCAGCTGTCCCAATTCAATTTACGCAACCATATTTAGTTGTTTGTGTTACCATTTGTGATTCACTGCTGGCGGGAGCAGGAAGGAGGCCTGGCTAAGGAGACTGAGGCCGTGAGAGGCCTTGTCTTCCACCATTTGTGATTCACTTCTGAATTCAAAGTACAGTGTGATACACACGCACACACTAGCCATTGAGGATATTTTCCTGGATTTATTGTTGAAACACGAGAGCACAGATAATAGTGAACTTATTGACATGAATGGCTCCTAGTTGAAACATACCATAAAATCACACTGGAAGATTTCTAGGACCTCCAGCACAACTCTTTGGTCAACTTCCATTGGAGGCATACCATAGAAAAGGGGTCCTCAAACTGAGACCCAAAGGCCAGATATGGCCCTCTAAGTTGATTTACCAAGCCCTCGCTCAGAGTCAACCTAAGTCTGAAACAACTTGAAAGCACACAACAGCAACAACA